GGTCATGTTAATAGCTAATGTTTTCCTTTTGATTTTTATCTACTATTTTTAAGCAGTTTTTTGGGAACTACTCATAACAACAATATTTTTTCTTAAAAAAATAAACCTCCTGTAAGCGTATGTTACAAAGCTTATTCTTGGATATTACCATGTAATACAAGGTAAACGCTTTTTAATTAATTTTGTTGAAGTTACAATTCTTATCCCCATCAAACACGCCATTTCTAAGAGAACTAAATATTGGCAATTTTCTTAAAGGAACAATAAGCCAGCATATCAATCTAGTGATAGTGCTACAGCTTCCAATTCTGTCAGCAGAAAGAGAGACAACTACTGAGTGTGCTGGTATATACTGATAATCTTTTATCTGGGAGTTAAAGAGCTAGACAATCAATTCATTTTTAGCAGCTAATGAAGATTGATCATTACAAAGCAAAGAAACCTGAGATGAGCTAAGGATGCCAGACAGTAACATACATCAATGTTCTATGAAAAGACAAATGTTTAGTGACCTCAATTTTTACCTGTCTGGTATAGATTAAAGTGCTGTTAGAAGAAGAACCACAGTGCAACGTGAGTTTTGGTGCAGTAAAATTTCTTAATGGCTAATGTTACAATTGATACCACAGTTCATATTCATAACTTAATTAAAAACTTGATTCCCATAACTGGAACTGAGAATAGTGGTTTAAATTGCATTTCACTACATGCATATATTTAGCATACTTAATTAGGAATCTAAGACCATTAACATCATTAACATTCACAGACAAGTTTTATTTCTCTAATAAGACTGTGCTTATTTTAAACTATTGAATGTTCCCAGGGCTGAAAATTTGTCCTCTGGTATAAAAAAATTATATCACAATGCAGTACCTTCAACGCTCTTAACTTCTTTATGTTGTTCTTGCAGGCTTCACTGTAATATGCGATACAACAGGTAATTACACTGTTGCTGCTGCACAGTTTCAGTTCCAGAGCATCAACAGATTGCTTTAAAATTCTGCTTCCACAATCACATTTTAAATATTCTAAATGGCTAGACCGAGCAGAAATGTCTAAATATACAAGCCAATGAGGCATGCTACATCTCCACATCCATTCTGGACACAACACATGCATTCAGGATGATTAAGTCAAGCATGTATACATGACACTGCTTCCATTTTAAGTCTAAGTCAAGATTTTTAAAACTCATATTTATCACAGCTGACAATAAAACCTAAGTTTTACTATCAGTGGCATTTTAAACCCAGGAAGGAGATTTCTGTTAGCAGGGACTCTCTATCACATAACTGCATAGCAAATATCACAAAAGTATTCTGATCCTTCACTCTGGTTTCTCACCATGATAATACAAATGCAGAGGAATACTTAAGCTTTTTGCTAGATTAAATTATTCAACCTTTCTGTGCTTCTGTTACTTAATTCAAGAGTGTTACTAAAGAGATTCTCCCTTTGTGTTTCTAATTCATGAATATGAACACTTTGAACTCCGTAAAAGGATTTGAAACAGGTTTGTTGTCTGTAATCTGCCATAATCTTTCTCTGTTGCTTTTCTTTTAATTCAAGGAATCAAAAACTCTCAAATTGCCTGCCTTCAAAGTGCAATTAAATCTCCACAGTAGAGAGAAAAGGACATTTATGAGGATAAAATAAATAGCAACCATTTTCCTATATTGTCATCTCTTTACTATCTGCAGACTATCTGTTGACTAATTTTGAGTAGACAAGTGATCTGCTGATCCTGTTGGAGAATAAAGGGTATGAATAAATCTGTTTTCAATAATGCTTATTTCTTCAAAGAGAAGAAATGGGGCTGGCAATTGCATATTAGAGTTGTTTACGCTCAGAAGCCTTGGTCTCATTCTCCCCAACAGAGCCAAAAGATAGACTTCTATGAAAGCCTCGCACTTCTCAAACTGCCACTTCTATAAAAACTTCCTGTCTGGTAGTTTTATATACGAGTTTATAATACAAGGGTGGGGGTTTTTTTATTATTAATCAAATACAACTGAATCAAGCAGCAAAATCTATCCATTGTTTCACATTATCTTCATGTTTAGTTTTGCTTAAAAAAATCTAAATACCTGTAATAACACTATTAATACAACTGCATTAAATGTTCTTGTTTTCTCCATAATCTCATCCCTTTTTTCAGTGGAAAGCCCCTTTGCAATCAATTTTCATGCTTTCATTCACAAGTAGTTAGCAGCAAACAGGAATGACAATTTGTTACAATAAAGAAAAGACCAAGGACGCAGCAGAGAAGATATTATACTTAGAATCATTGCAGATTACTTCTCTTTCAGATTAACACCAAGACAGATACAAGATTTCTAAAACTCCAGGCAAATTTTAGTGTTCCTCAAAATGAACCACAGACAACGTACCTTCCCGCTGAGGTCTATGGGAAGCCATCGGTAGTCCATCATGAGGTGCTGTGGTTCGTTCTAGCAAACTGGTCTCATTACTTGACATGCAGTCACTACGGGAAAAGTCATTCTAAATAGAAAAGGAAAAAAAAGAAAGTGTCTAAATTGAATGTATATTATTAAGCCTTACTCTAAAAAGCAACTTTAAAAAAAAAAAAACACAAACTACGCTTTATTTGGCATTCTACAGGAGAGAAATCCTGAGAGTGGCAAAAAGATGGTCATTAGCCACTTCGGTTCTTTCTTTTTCACTTTTCTTTCTTTCTCTCTTTCTCTCTCTCTCTTTCTCTCTCTCTCTCTTTCCCTCTCTCTCTTTCTTTCTCTCTCTCTCTTTCTCTCTCTCTCTTTCTCTCTCTCTCTTTCTCTCTCTCTCTTTCTCTCTCTCTCTTTCTCTCTCTCTCCTTCTCTCTCTCTCCTTCTCTCTCTCTCTCTTTCTTTCTTTCTCTCTCTTTCTTTCTCTCTCTCTTTCTCTCTCTCTCTTTCTCTCTCTCT